CACAGACTGGTTTGGGTGGGAAGGGACCTTAAAGACCATCTAGTTCCAACCCCCCTGCCATGGGCAGGGGAGTTGGAATAAGATGATCTTTAAGGTCCCTTCCAACCCAAACCATTCTCTGATTCCCTAAGCCCATCAGACATTCAAAGACTGAACAAGCTTAACTGGCTGCCACATCACTCTGGAAGATTGTTAGAATTTTTTTTTTTTTTTGATAGCTAGAAGACTGTACTCCCCAGCCACTTTATAAGTTTGTTTTTAGGAAATTGAGTTAAACAGTATGCTAACATCCAGTACTGGCAGCATTGTTCTGCAGTATTTTAATTAGGCAACTGCTATATGTTCCTCTGTAACAGCCTTTCTATAAATACACTTCCGTCCAACCACAAATTTTTGGCTTTGTACCCTGTGACATGCAGGGGGTCAGACTGAATGTTCCTGCTGGCTCATTCTGGCATTCTATATAAAAGCCCATTCTGTTTTCCAACTCATGTTTGAGCAGCTATACAGTGAAGTTGTAAATTGATTAACAAGATGGGAAACGCATAAGGAAAAATATCAACCTGTCCTGAATACTAAGGTGGCTATCTGACAAGCTATCTGGCAATGTAGAGAACAGAGTGCAGATCTTAATTGTGATACAATACATTTCAAGAGACGAAAAGATAGTTAGCTGGCTCTTATCCACAGTAGTTGATGCCTGGTAATGGCTGGCACAGAATATACAGAGACCCTTAGGGCAGTGTCACTGCCTGTTACTACCAGCTGCTTGGCTGTGGTCATGCATACTGAGAGGGATGTAAAGGAAGAAAACCAGGATATCCTTCCCCTGTTAGAAGCATGGGTATGCAACAGCTAAATATCTCCATGATTTTAAAATAATGCAGTAGTGAAGAAATCTTTGTAAAGCACTCAGCACCAGAATACAAAAGCTCCCAAATTAATTCCACTGTCATATCAGTATTGATACAGTTCCCAGTATGTGTATATGTCTGTACTGGCAGTTCTGCAGGACCTCATACCTGAGACTATGCAACCCGGGGGGGTGGCAAAGTTCAGACCACTGGTTAAACAGCTCCCTCTAGTTCTGCATTTAAACCAGCACGATCTGTTCAAAAGACTCTTCCAAGAATAAGCTCATACTACTTCCCCATCAAAGGAGCTTTCAGCACGTGAAGTGCTTGTAGCATGATAAGAAGCAACAAAAGCAGAGTCAACATTTTTAGCGTGTCCCTGCCCACGGCAGGGGGGTTGTAACTAGATGATCTTTAAGGTCCCTCCAACCTAAACCATTCCATGATTTTAAAAAAAGTAAGACTGCTAAGGGAGTCCTGGGTGCAGGCAACTTAAATACAAGTAGACTTATTTTTAGAAAACCATTGTCATTCATGATAAATATTTTTAAAATATGGATTGCCTATATTTTACAAGAAGATCATCAGAAGACAAGGTTATCAGATTCTTTAAGTGTTCATAACTTCTGCAACTTCATAGGAATTCTCTAATAAAGAGATTTTCATAGAGAGAGTTCTTCCATTTTACAGACTATGCAGTCTAGTTTAGACTGCAAAACCTGACATAAATTACTCTCGCCTGACACTAAACTAAACTTATAACATAATTAATTCACAGAAGTAACACAGAATTGTTTGTAATACTTGCATTACACTTGCTGTGAACTGACCTGAAGCCCTGTGAAGGTCATCTTTGACTTCCTTGATGTCTTTTTCCAGCTTCATAATCTTGTTGGCCTGTGTTTTACTGCCTAAATTTTTGTACTTCAACCAGTAATCCCTCTCACCCTCCTTTGCTGAAAGCCTTTGGTCAATCTCTTCAATCTGGGAGTGCAGATCTGTTGGAGTAAGTGTCAGAAGACGAGTTCATTACCAATTTCTTGAAGCAATAGTTCATAATTCTTATTACTTCATCAGATTCTCTTAAAAAGGCACTTTCACTGGAATTGGAGAAAGAAGAGTGATTCTTCTGCACTACAGTACATGACAACATGATGGCCTTACACAGTGTCAAGGGCCACTGTCATTGCTGAAAACAGCTTCATCTTGTTCTGCCAACAGTTCACACTGAAATGTTGTAACCAAAGACACACATGACTTCACTCCCAGTAAGAATCACCGGAATGGCAGCCAGAATTTTCAGCAATCAAAACCGCTCAGTTTTGCTGCCATCAATAATTTTTTTATCTTCCAGTGGAGCTAGTACACAGGGCTTTCATGAATTTCAACTTCATGGAAAATATGAAGCCTCATTACTTGCACTGTGATATACATCCCTTGGAAGGAACAAAACAGAGCCTAACACATGGGCTCTTTTTCTAGAAGACTCTCACTTATTTTGAAGTTTAACTCAATTTAATTAACAGATTCATTTATAAGCCCTCCACAACCTCACGTCACGTTTGAAGAGCTTAACTTTGGGGAGGAAAAGCTTTATGCTTTTTATGCAACAAGGGAGCTGAATCCTCTTTAAAATGCAGAAAGAGTACTCAGTTCTAACTGTGTAAACTGCAAGCCACACTTCCATGCCTCACTACATACCTTTCAGAAGTCGTTCTTTGTCCCTTACGTACTGACATATTTCTTTCAGTGACCCTTCCACATCATCCCTAGTTACAACCTCCTTTTCATCTTGTTCTTTCCTCTCTTCTTCTATTTGTCTTAGTATGTGCCTGATGTGTGCCTGCTGTTCTTCCTTCAGGAGGTCATTCTATGAAAGAACAACAGACTGAAGTGCATTTCAGGACTGAAAAGAATACCAAGGATAGCTAAACAGATGGATACTTTACAAAAGCAGGGCAAGTATCAGGCACGGGCAGGACAGGGAGACATTGTTTCCATGTTTCATTGCTATAAGAAGTGCAGGCTGCAACTTTAACCAAATGATCTGGTTTAAGGATTTTGGAGGGATTTGCATTAATTTCATTAGGTAACTATATACATCCATTTCAAAGTTCACTGCTCTCAACCATCAGATAAGGCTTTTCATATATGGTTCTTTAAAGTGTCACTCAGGTGTGATCAGTAGTTACACAGCCTTGTTCGAAAAATGACTCTACACATCTCTTAATCCACAAGGAAGTGTGTAGATTAAGCAAGTCAAGCAGTGCTAGAATCCACACTGAGACAACTGTGATGCTCTTTCTTCTTTGTTCCTTTCTCACTGTAGCTAAGTCTGCAAGACTAACTAAACTCTCACAGAAAACTGCAATTCTATCACCACAGATGGGAATCAAAGCAGGTCAGTAAACCTCAATATTGCTAAGATCTGCTAATACTACTGACAAAAAGTAAGTTAAAGTGGTTTACTCTTCTTTGTGCTGAAAGTGCATTCTTGGCTTCCTTGAGAATATTTGTCAGATTGCTTAAAAAGACACATCTGAATGTGCTGTAGTAAAGTTACCTACTCAAAGGGCGCTCGCTGTCCTATGTTTGCTGCAGAGTAAGATTAAATACTTAGGTGGTTACTGAGGATCTCACGACTGGAAAACACCTCCACTGAACTTACTTTACCTTAGTACTGTGGCCTATTCTGCAGCGTTCTACTCCTGCAGCTCCTTTTTGGTTTTTTGCACGATTATATTCAGAACATTTTTGCTTTATGTCACATTCAATTCAGATAACACTTAAACTTCTAAGCACATAAAGTGACTCACTATCTCCAGCTTCATTGACTGTAAGAAATTCAGAGCAATGACTAGTTTCATTGAATGTAGTATTGGGATTAAAAGAATAAAACTGAATCTGTGAGTTAAACTACCACATATAAAACATGCTGGGAGAAGGATGCATAGCCACTTACCCTTTTGTGATATTCTTCGTTCTTTTTTTCCACTTGTTTCAGATCAAACAAAACCCGATCAACTGCTGCTTCTTTTGTCTCAATTCTGTAGAGAAAGAGTAAAGAGAGAGACATCCTTACACAAACGGAAGAGAGAAGGATTATTTAAAATAAATTAGATGTAACTACTGAAATGTTTATATCTGTATTATATTCACAGAGCGGGAGGGGTTGGAAGGGCCCTCTAGAGCTCATCTAGTCCAACCCCCTGCCAGATCAGGATCACCTGGAGTAGATCACACAGGAACAAGTCCAGGCAGCTTTGGAAAGTCTCCAGAGAAGAAGACCCCACCACCTCTCTGGGCAGCCTGTTCAGTGCTCTGTCACCCTCACAGTGAAGAAGGGTTTCCTCATGTTCAGGCTGAACCATCTGTTTTCCAGTTTATGGCCACTGCCCCTCATCCTGTCACTGGGCACTACTGAGAAGAGCCTGGCCCCATCTTCCTGACACCCACCCTTTAGATACTGATAAGCACTGATAAGATTCCCCTTCAGCCTCCTCTTCTCCAAGCTAAACAGACCCAGCTCTCTCAGCTTTTTCTCATGTGGAAAGTGCTCCAGGCCCTTCATCATCTTAGTGGCCCTGTGCTGGACCCTCTCCAGTAGTTCCTTGTCCTTCTTGAGCTGAGGAGCCCAGAACTGGACACAGTACTGCAGGTGAGGCCTCACCAGCGCAGAGTAGAGGGGGAGGATAACTTCCGTCGACCTGCTGGCCATGCTTTTCTTAATGCATCCCAGAAGGCCATTGGCACTGCTTGACTTATTTGGGTAAATACCACTGTCCTATCACTAAACATAAAGAAATTATTCCCCACATATATCATGTTAGTTTGGATCTCATACTCCTACTGAGAGACTCCCTGCTTACTCTGTTCTGTTGTAACCACTGGAGAGGATTAAGCTGGTTTATTCTTTCTGGATGTGGTTTAGCTGACCTATTGTACAGCTCTTTTTTAGACCAAGACTATTTGTGCTCCAGAAATATTTATTATGCACCACTCACTCTAGAGAAAGCCTAGGCAACTAGCTTGGACAGATGAATCCCAAACTGAAGAATTAAATAGGATTCAGTTCTTCTGAAAACGTGGTTTGATAAGCTTCACAAACTACATTTGTACACCAAGAACTTGTTAGCCTTTAAAAAACACAAAGAGAATAGGGACTGCAGCTCGAGTCGTATCCTCCAAGTATGTTCACACATTTCTGTCAACAAACTAGCTTTCACAATTTTCACAGCCTACTGGTCATCCTGTTTGCCATAGCTGTAAAATAAGTATTTTTTCCTGGTGTTCTGTCTTCTAGAATGAGAAACGTTAGAATGCAAATGGCATCTATTTGCAAAATCCTCTGTACTCTTTCCTTCTGTTCCCAGAATTCATTCCCCATACAGCACAATAGAAGCAAGTGTTACAATTATCACAGTATCTTTTACTGTTTCAGTAGCTATTGTTCCTTGAGGTTTTGATTTGGGTGGTTTTTTTGTTCCCCCTCCCTCCCATTGTATTAAGTTGTTTGAAAAGAAGTAATTTATCATGGCTAAATTTGGAGCACTCAGCCATGCAAATTGCAGGTTACTAGATTTGCATCCTTTGGTGTCAGTGTGCTCCAAGGTGTTCTTCAGGTTCTCCATTAAGTACAAGGATATTAAAGACACTAAAGGGGAGACATGGGAGTATGATGGTGATGGTTACAGCAAAATCATATAACTTATTCGACAGAAGTGACACCTTGGCTGCACAGTGTGACTCCTAAATTACCTGCCATTTTAAACCATTTCTGTATTTTGGAAATTGCTGCTGATCTTAATTTCTGCTGCTTGAAGATTTTCCATGAAGTGCAGTCTATATCCATCACTCTGTTAAATGTCAAAAATTTATATGAGTAGAATTTGCTATTTTGTCTGCTACATATTGGAACTTCCCTCTTTAGATTATTCTTCTACGGTATTTGTCAGATTAGAGCTACAAACCAGGTAGATTGATGATTCCTTTGATACAACTTTTCTCAACTCTGTATACTAGGTTTCATCTAGAGGATTTAAATGTCTAGAAACAACACTCCTCTCCAGCACCATGACAGTTTTGTCAGTTGTGTTACCCAGGCAAATAATTAATGGGATTGTTTTTCCTAACCATTCCTGAAACAGAAAACTGTACTGAAAATGCAAACTAACAAACTCGCTATGAACAGCAGCCATTCTTCAATGGACAGAAGAAAAACAGGAACAGGAACAGAAGTTAAATAAATACTACACACTTGATAAATCCTAACGCAGAACGTGACAGATAATTCACTTGTATGATTGTGCTGCTTTGTTCAGTCAAGAGGTACAGAGAAGTTACAGATTACAGAGGTGTGAAAATGCAAACTAACAAACTCGCTATGAACAGCAGCCATTCTTCAATGGACAGAAGAAAAACAGGAACAGGAACAGAAGTTAAATAAATACTACACACTTGATAAATCCTAACGCAGAACGTGACAGATAATTCACTTGTATGATTGTGCTGCTTTGTTCAGTCAAGAGGTACAGAGAAGTTACAGATTACAGAGGTGAATTTGGAAAGAGAGGAGAGAGGGAGAAATATAAAGACAGAAGGAATACTTTTCTTCTCTTTTTCCCCTACTGTTGCTGTAGAAACTAAATACAGAAGAACAGTGACACTGTAGGTGTTGAGATTCTGGCTAGTGACTACATGCCTCTGTGAACACCAAGGAATCCTAAAAAATACAACCAAATAGGATCCTGCAACTTCAGACTGTGCTGATCAAAAGCGGGATACTAAAAGACAAAAATGTGGAGGTTTTGTTTTCTAAAACTCTTTTTACCAAGTTATAATCTAACAGCATAAAATTATTTCTGACCCACTTAAATGCCTTCTTATAGGTATAGTTTAAAAGGTGTATATATACCCAAAATAGCCTTGAAAACCCAAAACAAGAGCACAAAAGAACAGTAAACAACTGGCACAGTGAATCAGCTCAGGCTCCGAATCAGTTAAGTTCTTTGTTACCTGCTTTATCCATTCACTTATTCTACGTAAGTGAAAAGTTAAATATATTAAACCTACTGAAATTCTAGTAAGGCTTCTGCAAGCTGCTCTGCTGATTTCACCTCTTTCTTCTTCTCTTCCATGCTTTTTGTTGTACTTGTGCGAGAAGTTAGATCTAAATAGAGGAAAAAGCAAGCAGAAAGGGAAAACGGAAAAAAAAGAGAGACAGAAATGAATAATTTACAAATTGTCATATGTTCATCAGCCTTTGTCACTTGTGACAAATTCTGAAATACACAGAGCGAGATGTTTTGTTGACAACAATAATCCCGCCCAGGGCAGCACTCAGGCCCACGTTTTTGGGACATCCTGAAGTGTTGTCCTGGGTAAAGACAGGTTTGTGAACAGTGGCCTCTCTCACTAGTTACTTTTTTGCATCCCTTGCTGCAGGCTGGGCTTTACATCCTTGCAAATCAAACAAGCAGTTGTTTCTTTTTCCAGGCCTTTGTTTCTTTATCAGGCTTCTTTTATCGAGTCCACTTGTTAATATGCATCCCTCTCCCTCTCCTTCTGTTCTCCTAGCACTATGAATATTTGCCTTTCACTGCAACGCTGATTTCAGTTTTCATTGTCAGAGCTGGAACAAAACCACCCTCTGAAGGGTTATGCATGTCAGCACTATTCCCTGGGCGTGTTGTCACAACTACCAGCCTCAGAATTCAACTGACAATGAAGAGTTCTGTAATGGTAGCATATATTACATAAAATAAAAAAGTCCCAGGAAAAGGGCACTTATGAAGGTTCCTCACTTTTAACAGGCACATAATCAAATGCCAAAACCAGATTAGTTTGGATAACACAGGAGGGTTTATTACCAAATGAGTAGAAACATGATATATAACCTGTTTTCATATTAAACTGCTTTTCTGAATTCAAGTCCTGAATTTTAACGATTATCACTGTAATAGCTAAAATTGATACCACCTTGTTCTGTGACTAAATAAAGCAGGCTGGATATTTTTCCTATTAAAATGAGCACAAGGAAACGGGGGGTGGGTGGGGGGTGGGGGGAAGAAAAACCAAAAAGAGCAGTGGAAAACCACACAGCAAGCCTGCCAAATCAACGTAAAATCAAGGAAATGAAGTTAAACCAACTATGGACAGACTCACTGCAATCCATATGTTGGCGCATGCCTTCTGGCTGCACTCGCCTTACCCTGAAGCAAGACCGTGTCAGCTTTCTGTATATCACATAACTTTCTACTCTGGATGAGTAGTTGATGCCTGCTGATGAAACAAGGGAGGGTGCTGAGGGCAGGCACTGTGCTTTATATGGCAGAAAGGCGTGTGAAAGGAATGTTCACTGTGTGGCAGCTCTACAAGGTAAGCGAAAGAAAAGGTAAACATACCTTGGAGTCTATGTTCCCACGCAGCACCTTAGACCTTGGAATATCTTTTTCATAATGTTTTATCCAGGAGAATTTTACTCCCACTCTGTTGGAAACCTGTTAGTGCAGATTTTGTCTGTTCTGCTGCTGAAGAAAAGGTCACACTCACAGGGACAATTGTCTAGAGCTATTGATCACCATCTTTACACCACCTGATTATTTATGTCACAGCTACAGCTAATTCCATTCACAGAAACCTGGAAAATTCTGACTCCCACCAGCAACATCTTGAAGTTCCACAGTGTCCCACATCAAACTTTCAGTGGTTGCTACACATGAGTAAAATATTTCTACTGTGAAACTTCAATACAATCATGGCTGTTTCACAGCACCCCCACATGACTGCAGTAAACCTTAAAAGGGATGCTTACAATCCAAGAAAAAATCCTTTTGTACCCAAGCATCCACTTGTGTCTGAAGACGTATTTACTCCTTAATAGTCACACACCACCTTTGCAGATACCAGTTCAAGTTAAGCTTCAGATTATAAATTAAGCTTCAGATTATTGAATACAATATTTGTCATGAAACTTCCAAAAAAAATCATAAACACGTGACTGTTGTAAGACTGAAATTAAAAAAAAAAACCACCCACTGAATTAAGAAAATACATCTCACTGGGACAGGAAGTTAGGTACTTTGCTTCCCTAGACCCCTTTGAAATTTCCAGCCCAAATGCACAAGTGCAGGGTACATATTTTAAGTATAAAAAAGAATCTGACATCCTTCTCCAGTGCAGAATTAATGGGGCTGGTACTAATTCCGCTTTCACTCAAGCATTTGTTTTACTGGTTTTCCTCAGAAATGGAAGATCACTGCAGCAATCCCTAACTGTTTTAAATTATTTCTGTCCCTTCCACTAAACAGATAATCAAAATCCCTGCTTAAAACTGGATACAAGCAGAAATGTTTTGAGCAGCAGTACTTTGAAAAGGTTGTAGGGTTTTTTTGGAACTCAAAACCTCAGGTAAGCTCCAGTGATATATTTACGAAATTCCTCCTGTACAGGGAGCAACAAGAAAGCCACTGAGCTGTACAACAAAGTAACAAAACATACTATAATAACAGATTTCCTAGATTTTGCAAACCATAGAAAATACACACGAGAGAGAAGGGAACATTATTTAGGGGACTGAAAATTGACTGCAGATTTTAAACCAGCAGGGAAACATTTGCAGAGGGCAAGATTTATTTCTTCTCCTAAACAAATAAATCACGAGGCATAACTCTCATAGACCTTACTATCGCTACCAGCATTTTCTCAATCAATAACTACACTGCCATTACATTCTCAAAAGCAGCAAGCAGATCCTAGACACTGCAATCCAGCTACTATGACTTTCCAGACACTCACTGCAGGGAACACCTGTATGGCAGCTCAACCACTCACACGAGCACAATCACTACCACCACCCACACCAGCACTTGCACTCACACTATTAACCTTGAACCTCAAGCAGCTGCATCATCAGCAGGCCCTGCGCCCTCAGTCCTCATCAATAATTATCTCTGCAGCCACACCATAACCCCTTCCCAATCTCCTAAACAGGCTAACGAATCCCTCTGCCCTCAATCCCTTCCTGCACGTTCCTTGCACCTATTTCTCACTACCCCCTTCATCACCAGACATGTCAGTAGATGAAACTGGGCCACCCCTCAGCATCCAGAGCCCCCCTGTCCGCAGAGACCACCGGTACTGCCACGCTGTGCCTAAGCCCCTCCACACTGTCTCACGCCACCTCTGAGCACCCCCCACCAAAGAGTTCCCTATACAGCCAAGCTTTGCGATATCTCCCCTCACCCTGCCACCACCCAAGTCCCCGGCCTCATGGCCCCTGCTCCCGCCCCGCATCCTCAAGGCCGGAACGGTCACCACCGCACCCCCCCGCCCTCGGCACCCAGTCACCGCCCGTCTCCCTGTTGCACCCACACACTGTCTCTACTCCGTCC